GGGCTGCCGCAAGAGCACCCCACGCCCGCATTCCCGCATGTAGACGCGCAGCCGCGCGGGGACAGGGTGAGGGGACCCAGCCACAAGTGAGGCAACACATCTGTTTAGAGACAGGGTCTCGCTCTGTCGCCCAGGCTGCAGTGTCGTGGCGTCATCACAGCTCACTGCAACCTCCAACTCCTGGGCTCAAGCGACCCTCCTGCCTCGGCCTCCCGAGTAGCTGGGACCACAGGTGCCACCACCTCGCCTGGCTAATTTTTCTACTTTTAGTAGAGACGGGGTCTCGCTCTTGCTCAGGCTGGTCTTGAACTCCCAGCCTCAAGCGATCCTCCTGCCTCGGCCTCCCAGAGCGCAGGATTACAGGTGTGAGCCACCGCGCCCAGCCACCACATCATTTTTGAGTGCTGACTGTATACCAGGCCCTGTCCTCCTGCTGTTCCTGCCCTGATTAGACTCTGGACACCCCCGTCACTCCCACTGTGTAAGAAAGGAAACTGAGGCCTGGAGCAGCGAAGCCACTTGCCAAAGGCCAGGCAATGCCCGCGCGCAGAGATGGGAACCTGGACGCCATCTGGCCAGAGAGTGTGCCCAGACTCTGCCAGACGCTCGGCCCACTCCCCGGTCAGCCCTCGTGGCCCCACCTGCTGTGCGCAGCCACCTTCCCTGCACGGACAGACGCTGTCACCTGGCCGCCCCGCCCTGGGGAAAATGCCAGGCGGCGCCAGGAGCCCCCTGCCCCTCCGCCACCCGGACACTGGACAGGGCGCTCGATCCCGCGTCCGGTCACAGCCGCCCGCCCTAGGTCCCCGGTGCCACCCAGGGTGTCAGAGCAGGGCTGGGGCCTCCCCGCCTCCCTCCTGAGAGGATCTGGGGCAGGAATGAGCATTTATTGAGTGCCTCCTGTATGCTTTTCAGGGACCACTGCCGCCAAGCCTCAAGGCAAGGGGTGCGGCTCTGGTTCTCCCCATCCCACAGATGGGCAAATCGAGGCCCCAGGACGGGAGGGCACCTCTCAGGGCCCGGAGCGCACGCGGGCACAAGTTGTGTCCAGCACACAGTGGCCACCGTCGCGTGCCCGCTGCTGGCCGGGGTGAGGGTCTCTGAGGGCGGAGGAGATGGAGGGCCTCTCTCCCAAGCTGAGCCCCTTTCTCCCCCCCCAGCACCCCCCCCAGCACGCTCTGCGGAGCCCCGGGCCAGGCCTGGGCACGGCAGGCGCTTGAGCACGGCCCCCCCCTCCCGTCCCCCTGCAGTCACCATGCCACCGGGGCTGGCCGGCGGGAGGGTGTGGCTTCCATCAGAGAACCTCAAAGGGTATTTTTAGTTTGTTTTGTGTAAGAGGTTTCACTCCGTTTCTCATTCTGGCTCCACCTCTCAGGGGCTGTGTGACCTCGGGCCAGCGGCCGTCGTCTCTGGTCCTCTGCCGCCTTGTCTGAAAGTGGGAGGGCAGGAGCCCTCCGCGGAGTGCCGGGAGGATCAGCGCAGTCCACACGCGCCCGGCCCCGGGCTGGGCACGCAGGGAGCGCCGAGACGTGCCGGCGTTACTGTTACTGCCGTCGGTGTTGTTGCCCCCCCATCCCACCCAGGAGGGGCTGGGGGCCTCTCCTCTCCCCGAGCCTCTCCTGCCACCCTCTCCAGGGCGCCCCCGCCCACCGGGCAGCGCCTGCGGCAGCTGCGAGCAAGCGTCCAGGCCGGGCCCTGCCGCGGCGCCATCCGGGCATGGACGGCCGGCGGTTGGCACCGCGCGGGGCGGGAACGGGAGGCCGGGCCATGGCGGCGGTGGCGTCAGCAGATGGGCACCATCTGGGCCGGCGGCTCGGGACGGGCTGGCAGCTGCCGGGGCGGGCGGGCCTGGCAGCCCCTCCCCCCCTGGCACGGCGCCCGCCCGCCTCAGGTTTCTCAGGCTGCCGGAGGGGGCAGGGAGCCCGGCCAGGCTGGGGCGGGCGGGCAGGCGGCTTCCCTCTCCAGGCCTGGCTCCTCCACGCTTCTCCCCCCCAACGACGCCTCCCCCTGCCCCTCCAGCTTCACCCGCGCCCCTGCAGCCCCACGCCCTGCTCCTGCCGGCCTCAGGGCCTTTGCACTGGCTGGGCCCCCCCCCACCCACCCGTCCGCCCTCCCTCCACCTGCAGGCCTCGTGTCCACAGTCACCTCCTCAGAGGGCCCCCCAGCCCCTCCACACCTCACCCTTGCTCTGTTTCCTGTCCTGCCCCAGTGCACATGCCCCCCCCATGCCCCCAGGAGCTCATGTGCCCCCATCACGGCCCGAAGCTGCCCCTGGCCTGCCCCCACCCCGGGCACACGACACAGCGCAGGCCCCTGTGGCCACGCCGGTGCTGGGCGGACGCTGGGCGGCCAGTTCTGCCCGGGAGATGGCCTGGGCCCCGACCGCCTGGCAGCCTAGTGCCGAGGGACCTTCTGGGGTCCCTGCCACGCCCCCACCTCCCCAGATGATTTCAGGATGGCGGCCTGGGGTTGCCCCGTAGGCCTCGGCCCCACGGTCCACCCACGGTCCCGGGAGAGACTGGGAGGCCGAGACGGGGGTGGGCGCGGGGGGCCGGGCCTCTCGGGAGGGCGGGGCCGGGGGACCGTGTGGGCCTGTCCACACCTCTGCGACTCCATGTCCCTGCCTTTCGCCCCCGCTGTCTCTGTCGGTCCGAGGCCCCACCTTTGGCCACCGTTTCTGTCTCGATTCTGATGTCAGAGGCAGGGCAGGTGTCCCCCAGTCTCCACCTGCGCCCTGGGACCCACACGGTGGGGGAGGGGTGGCGGCCAGTCCTCCTTGCTGTCGGACTCACGAAGGCCGGGCCCAGCGTGGAGGTCGGCCTTGGCCCGCCGACCCCAGACGAGACCTCTCGCGCCCCAGCCTGTGGGGTCCAAGAACACAGAGCCCAGCTGGGAGGCGGCCAAGCCACACTGACGGACAGATGCACCACGATTCACCCCACCCCCTTCCACGACACTCACGGGGACCCGGGGGTGGGGGTTGTCAGTGACACAGCAGCGGCGGAAGCCACCTGGGTCCCAATCCCACCTCTGCCGTCTCTTGGCTGTCTGACCTCAGGCAGGTCAGATCGCTTCCTTGGGCCTCTGTTTCCTCAGCTATGAAATGGGCACAACAGTGACTCTGCCCCGTGGGGCTGCTAAGCACAAGGAAAAGAACTGCTAATGGCTGGCAGAGAGCACATGGAGCTAGGAGCTGGGGTTTTGAAGTGTGAGCAGGAGTTTTCCATATGGGAAAGGCATTCCAGGCAGAGGGAGCAGCATAGGCAAACAGGCCCGGCCAGTGGGAAACCAGGAGGAGGAAGATCGTGTCAGTGACAACAGGGCCCTCGCCTGGTGCCTGCTGGTGCCTGGCGCTGATGACCCCCCGAGGGCCGTGCGCTGAGCACTTACCAAGGGCACCCCACCTTCCCCATAAGGGGGCCATCTTTGAGCTCCCCATTATATAGACAAGCAAATGAGGCACAGAGAGGGTCAGCAACTTGCCCCTGGTCACCCAGCCAGCAGGCAGGTCCCACTGGGACCCTCACGCCCAGGATGGGCCGGTGGCGGGCTGGTGGGCGTGTGGTCCGCCGGCCGCTGGAGCAGGGACTCCCGCGGGGCGGATGGGCTGGGCTGGCCGGCAGCGCGGCGGCAGCTGGACACCAAGGTGTCTGGGAGGCGCGGGCCGCGGCGTGGGGGAGGGGCGGGCGGCGCGGGATTGTGCTGACTGCGGCAGAAACGCAGCCCCAGCTCCGGAACGCTGTCAGCTCGCGGAGGAGGCGGGGGCGGGCTGCGCGGCCCAGGCGGTGGGAGGGGGAGGCTGGGACCTGCATGGCGGCGAGCCCACGGCCGCACGCGCCACCCTGCCCCAGACACGCTGCCACCTCCCGCCCCTCTCCGCCTCCACCGGCCCCAAAGGCCGCTTCGCTGTGGGGGCGGGGAAGAGGGGGCAGATGCTAAGGTCAAGGTCAACAATTCAAGGTCAAGACGGGGCAACTGTCTGTCCCGCTCTCCCTCCCTCCCACCCGCCCTGGACACAGACTGGGAGCCCGTGACCTTGTCTAAGCCTTGCACCAACTCCAGACGACAGCACGGCTGCCACCCCCACTGTACCGAGGGGGAAACTGAGGCGCAGAAAAGGGAGGTGTCTGCACAGCCAGGGAAGAGCAGGGCGGCCTCGGGAACCTGGACCGTCTGGCCCAGGGTTCCCCGCTCCTGCACACGCCCCTGCGCAGCCTCTGCGGTCTGCGTGTGCGGCGCGCCCCCGCCCCGCCTGTGCCGGCTCCCTCCCGGCCACACGCGCCCGCCGGGCGGCCTGGGTGGGCACGGCAGGGTGTGGCCCGCGCCCAGCAGGCCTCGGGGGCATCTGAGCCCGTCCGGGCGGAGACAGTCCCGGGGCTCGCTGCGGGCTGGCCCTCCCGCCATGGCCTCATCCAAGCCCCCGCAGCTCCATCAAGCCAGGCCCTCTGATAACCGCCCGGCGGGGGAAACTGAGGCCTGAGCGAGCCACACGGCCAGGAGGCGGCAGCACGACGGACCCGCCGCCGTCTCGACCACGGCCTGCTCTTGGCACAAGCACCTGCCCACCTTGAGAGGCCGCACGGCACAGCCAGCCTCCCAGCTCCGCCCGGCTGCCACGCCACCTGGCTGCCCGCCCCACGTCCGCTGCCGCCCGCCCAGCCACCCTGCAGAGCCCAATCAGCTGTGCCGCCTCCTCTGGGAAGCCACCGGGGATGCCCCCACTCTGCACAAACCCTGCTGGTCCCGACATCGGGCATCTGACCCCCAGCAACCCCCGAGCTGGAAGGGCCGGACTCTCTCGGCCTGCTGGCGTGGTCTGAGAGTCGATCAACAAACATTCCCAGACCACAGCCCCAGGACTCTGGGAGCTCTCCTCGGAAGACCCCGGTGGTCTGTCTCTCCCGTGCCCATCTCTGCTCCGGGGAGCGCCACACGGAGCCCCAGTCCCCCAACCTGGGTGCGGCCCCCGGCACTGCCCCCCGCCCGCCGCGCCGGCTCACCTCGCTCGCGCACGAAGTAGGCCAGGTAGAGGTCCAGCTCCTTCACGGCCACGCCGATGTGGTGCGGCTGCACGCACAGCACCGGGTGGCCGCACTGCGCCGCCTTCACCAGGCGCTCGCCGTCGGTGCTCTCGAGCGGGATGCCCTTGAACAGGATGACCATGACCAGGTCCAGCCGCCACACCTTGTCGGCCTGGCGCAGGCAGTCGATGCGCCGCATCTTGCCCTTCTGGTCGGGGTTGGAGAGCACGCAGCCCGGCGCCTTCTTGCCGGTGATGGCCAGCACGAAGTCCTCGCGGCACTCGGGCCGGATGTCCTTGCGCAGCTTGGCCAGCAGCCGCGACGCCCACTTCTGCTTGACCTCGGGCTTCTCGCCCAGCAGCTCGTCCTTCACCGCCCGCTCCTCGTCCTTCGACATCCGCTTCTCGTGCTTCTTGAAGTACTTGCGCTTCCGCGCCTGCAGGTTGAACCAGGTGTAGGCGAAGGCGCGCACGTGAGGCAGCAGGGCCTCGATGAACGGGTGGAACTCATCCTACGGGGACAGGGGGCGACACGTCAGCGGGTGGCCGGGCACTGCGGACCCACTGCCCTGCCCGGGAGACTGAGGCCGGAGCGGGGCAAACACGCCGGACCGGGACTCGCGGGCCCGGGGGGCCGCCGCAGACCCGCCCACCCCACTGGGGGCAAACTGAAGGCCACAGGTGGCCCGGCAGCGGGGCGCCTGCACAAACCCATTGCCCAGGTGAGGAAAGTGAGGCTCGGGCTGGGAGGAAGGCGCGGGCCGCGGCAGAAGTCCATGGAGGACCACCATGAACGCCCCCGTACGCAGAAGGAGCAAGGCAAGGGTCCCAGGTGGGGGCTGACAGAGGACCCACTGTACAGATGGGGAAACTGAGGCTGGAGACTAGGGAAGTCCTGGACGCATTCTTGGCCTGCTAGAACCGGGGTCAGCAAACTTTTACACCAAAGAGCCAGGCGGGGAACATTTTAGGTTTTGTGCGATACACACAAAATCCACGTTCGTGCGGAATCAGCCCCGCGTGAGGCGTGAGCCAGCAGAGTGGACCAATAAAACTTTATTTACAAAAGTGGGTGCCGGGCACCCGGCTCCGGGCTGTGGTTTGCAGACCCCTCACCGGGGAGGGCGAGCAGCCACCTCCTCCAATGCCTAGAGTAGGGCCGCGCACACAGTGGTGCTCAATGAATGCAGGAGGAGCCAGAGATAGAAACGTGGAGGCCCAGGGAGGCGCCGAGACGCGGCCGGGGCTGTGACTTTCGCACACGTCCCATCGTGACTCACCCGGGCTGTCTAAGGGCGGCCACAAAACCCGCTTTGCGATGAGGAAGCTGGCGGATCGGCTCATCTGCCCACAGTCTCCCAGGGGGCAGGGAAAGGCCGGAGACCCTGCTGCTAGCTGCTGCGTGGTAGGGAAACTGAGGCTCGCGGAGGGGTGGAGACCCGGCCAAGGTCCCTCGGGGGTCTAAGGGGCTGTGTGAGGATAAGACCCAGGACCCTGACCGCCCTGAAGGCCATCGACCCTCTTCCCGGGACAGCCTGTCCCCCGCGAGGCTGGGGTCCTGGGAACAAGCGGAAACAGCCACTTGGACCCCAGTCCGGGTTCTGGCACCCCCTGCTGCGTGCCCCGTGCCCCTTGGGCCACCTCGGGCCACAGGGAGCTGCAGGGCGTGGGCGGGGACCTCAGATGTCACCTATTACTGAGGGTCTGAAAATAGCCTCCCACCTGGCGAGGCCAGGGTGAGGCGGACGGGGCTCTGCTCGCGCCAGCCCGGCTCCCCCACCCCAGTGTCCCCCAAAGCGTGAGTCATCGTGACAGCTGCGGCTGGGACTGGACCTCGGGGCCCTTTTATGCCCGCCCCACCCCCGAGCGGACCTGCTGAGGCAGACTGAGGGTGGGGGGCCACCCAGTGCCGGGCCACCCTCGTCCCCTCCCGTCCCTGGAGGCCACTCGACACCCGAGAGCCAGAGCAATCTGTCCAGCGGCACACAGCTGGCCAGCAGAGCACAGGCCGCCTGGCCAGAGACGCGGGGGCGGGCGGTGGTTCGGGGGATCAATAGAGACACAGGTCACTGCCTGTGGAGGGGCGCCAGGCGGGCAGGAGGCCAGGACGGCGGCGTCCAGGTCTCCTCCCCCTGAAGCCCCTTCTCTCTTTGACCCCCTGTCCCCCGAATTCCTTCTGTCAGCCTGGGCCCCTCCTGGGGACAGGTGCCAGGGAGGCGGGCAGGGGTGGGAGCCCACATCACTGGTGACCCGGGCAGGTCGTGGAGGCAGGAAGCAAAACAGCCTGTGACTGGGTCATGGACCCGGTGTCCCCTCCTCCCTCCGGCATCCTGGGAGGTCAGAGCAGGTGAGAGGCCGGGCCCATCATTCTCTTTGTCCCACAAGACTTGTGACAACCAGGCCCTCTTCCCCAGGCACCTCCCAATGCCCTCAAAGGCTGAACGGGCAAAGGAGGCAGCCAAGGCAGGCTAGGTGCTGAGAATCCTCCCAAACTCCTACACATCCCTCAATGCCCTGTCTCCAGTGTCCCTTCCTCCAAACAGCCTCTCCCCAGGGTTCCCCCACACCTAGCCTGTACCGTACAGACTGGGGGGGGTCTCTGAATCCAGCTGTGTCACCCCCCTCTCTGACTCTAAGGCCCAGGATTGAGGCACCCACTGCCAGGGAAGGAGATGGGGGGTTATTAGTCTCCATTTTCACTGTTGGTATGATCCAGCCTCAGTTTCTCATTCTGTACAATGGACAGAAACGGATATTGCAGCCTGCTGGAGATGGGTGGGGCTTGTTCCTTGCCCTGGTGACCAGAGATGCAAAGCCACAGCGGAACAAGGCCAGACCTTTTCCAGAAACCCCAGGGTGGCCCACTGGGGCTTCCTGGCCAAAGAGGGCAGCAGAAGCTGGGACAACTGTGCCCTGGGCTGTGTCCTTCTCTCGGCCTCCCTGTGGTCCCCCCACCCTGGAAGTCCAGGCCAGCAAGCTAGGACATGAAACCCCAATTACAAGTTTTCCAGATGAAAGTGATTCAACAGTCCTTAATGAGAATGGATCTCATCAAACTCCTATGCATCCTTCAAAGCCCTGCTTCCAATGCCCTCTTCTACAGGTTAGGTGACAATCAATACCATCGGGCACCAGTGTCAGGGCTTCTAACCTGGGTACTCCTTTCCCCCAGCTCAGAAAATCAGAGCTTGTCAACGACTCTCATCTAACCCTGTGAGGGAGGGATTCCTTCTGTTGTTCAACAAATACCTACTGAGCGCCTACTGTGTGCCAGCCCCACGCATGGTGCTGGGGATTTGGCAGCAGCGTGGGCTCAAGCCCTGCCCCCACCGGATCCTCACCTGGGAGACATGTCAACAAGTCAACAAATATGTACCAAAATGTCAGGTTGAGTAAAGCACTCTGAAGAAATGTAAAGGTGTTTGAGGGGCCAGCGAATCCCCGAGGGAGGGGTGTTCTTTAGCTGGAGGTGGCCCAGCAAGGCCTCTTGCAGGAGGGGACACTTGAAGGAAGACCTGAAAGATGACAATTCCGGGTAGGAGCTTTCCAAGTGCAGAAAGCGGCCCGTGCAAAGGCCCTGGGGCAGGACCGCGCCTGGCATGTTGGAGGCACAGAGAGGAGGCCCGTGCGGCTGGCACAGAGTGAGGAGGGCAGGAAGGGGACAGGGTAGGTTGTGCAGGGAGGAATTGGGTAAACTGAGTCCAGAGAGTGGATTCTCCCTGCCTAAGCGACCAGTGAGCCCTGGGTCCCCTGACTTCCCTGTTTGTGCCCTCGCCCTGGAGGACGAGGAGGGCTGAGCCAGAGGGCTTGGGGTGCAGGGACAGAGACACGGAGCCTTTCAGAGGGAGAGGGCTGAGTCGTCAGCTCTAAGAAATGGGAGCTGTCACCGCGCCTGCCGTCCGGAGGAAGAGACCAAAGCCAAGCGCTGAAGTCTCGCGGTCAGGAAGGAGCCCCCGCACCCCCAGCCCCACTCCTGCGCCCTTGAGCCGGGGTCTGGGCTTGGCCACACGCTGGCCACATCCTCAGGGAGGCCAGCTCCCCCGAAGCCAGGTCCTGCTCTGTCACCTCCTTTCCTGCCCGCCACCCTGACCGGGCGTGGACTCTACCTGTCTCCATTGCTGCCTACCCCGTCACCAAAGAAACAACCCCGCCCCCCAGGTCTGCTCAGGCCAGGGACACCCTGCACAGAGCCCGGCAGGAGAGAAAAGACCAACAGAAGAGCCCCCTCCCTGGGGTGGGGGGTGTTCTGAGCTGAGGTCAGTCACCAACTGTCCCTTGTCCCCTAGCCCAGAGCCTGGGTTATGCAGAACTAAGTGGCAGAACAAAGGGAGAGTGGATTAGAAAATGCCTACAGGATGTTAAATGCAATTATTAGTTTAGCAGCAACCAGGATCGTCGTAGCACTTATTTGGCGCCTACTGTATACCAGAGTGGAGTATCTGAGGACAGTGCGATCGTGTCCCCCCGTTTTTATGGGGGTGGAGAAATGGAGGCTCAGAAGACCAAAGTCCCTTCTCTCAACCAGCAGAATGGCTCCTTCATCCACGATGCAGCGGGCGTTCATTGAGCACCGAGTGTGTGCCAGGCTCCGCACCGAGCACCTCAAAAGTGTCCCGCCTCCCCGAATCCTCAGCGGGCAGATGGGACAAAGGCTCCGGGTCTGTGTCTCGGTGGCCCCCCAGCCCGTATTCAGGGGCATCTGAGAGAGGGCAGGGCCGTGTCCCCATCAGCACGGGTGGCAGGGAGTGTGCACGCGTGTGTCACGGACGTGCACCCGGGCGAGGGGGCACAGCGGTGGGGGCCGCAGGGGCAGGAGGCCTGGGCAGGACAGCGCGGCGTGCGCCGCAGCGGCGGGAGGGAGGCCGCGCACGGGCGCGGGCGGAGAGGGAGCGGAACGCTGACTCGGCCAGAATCCCGCGTGCTGATTTACAGGCCGGCCTGCGCTGAGGCTCCTGCGGCAGCGAGGGGGGGACGCGGGCACAGGAGGCAGCGCGCCACACGCACCGGGACAGAGATCCGCCGTCTAGGGGAACAAACCACGGCCCGCCGGCCCACCTGCCCCGGCCTGGCCAACCCCCCAGATGAGAAGTAGCCCCAAATCCCAGCCCCGCTGTGCCGCCAGGGCGGCCCCGGCCCTCTCTGGGTCTCAGCCCCGTCCCGGCCCTGGGAGGCTGGGACCCCGGCCCTGGCAGGACCCCCTTCACCCCGCCTGCACCCCACCCTGCTGCTTCCCCACCCAACCCCCACCCGGGCCACATGACAATCTATTAAAGCAAACCAAAGTGTGTGGGGAGGGGCCCTCCCTGCCTCAGTTTCCCGGCTGGAGAACCGGCAGCACACAGAGTGCCGCTGTCGCGCAGAAAGAGGCAAAGGAGCGACGGAAAGAATGAATGAACGCGGGAGGGGCGGGCAGCCGCGGGGAGGAGGTGGCCTCTGCCAGGCCCAGCCTGCGGCCCGGCCTGGGCATCCTCCGCGCCCGCAGCCAAGAGGGATTTGGCCCCAAACCCGGAATAACTAACTAACGTGGCGGTGGCGGGCGGGAGGGCGGCGGGGAGGGAGGCCCGGGCGGGGCGGGTGGGGAGGTGGCCTTTCCCGCCGCCAGGATTTATGGAAGTAACGGTGGCCCAGCGCAGTTCCTCTTAAGAGTAAAAGTGAAAAAGCGTTTGAGTCACCGCCGAGACCGGGACGGGCTCCCAGAATGCTCCAGGGCGGCGCGGGCAGGGCCCAGGTGGCACAGGGCGGGCTGGCACCGGAGGTCCCCCACCCCCCGCCGGCCTCGGCTCCCGGGAGGAGGATCCGGGTCGGATCAGCTAAAAGGCAGCAGCTATTTTAGGTCGGGCTCAGGTTGTAAAATTAGCCGGGGATGGGGGGAGAGGGAGGCCCAGAGACAGACAGAGACGGGAGAGACACACAGAGACAAAGAGAGGGGAAGAGACAGACACGCGTCGGAAAGACAGAGGACGAGACAGAAAGGGACAGATGGGAACTTGGAGAGAGACAGAGACAGGGAGAGACTGAGAGAGACCGAGATGAGAGACATCAGGCATGTGGTTCGGGACACTGAGGCAGGCAGCCAGGAGTGGGGGGCCTGGCATGTGGCAGTCAGGGGCCTTCTAAGCCCCCCACTGGGGACCCCAGAGAGGCCCGGCCTGGGAGGAGCAGCGGGCTGCAGGGGAGGCTCAGAGGAGGGTCTCGGCTCCCCCCCAGGGCAGGGGTGCAGTGGGAGCACTAGCCCCTGCCTTTGGGACGCGCCACTCCCAGCCTGGCCTCCCATCTCTGCTGTCTCTCAGCCTGTCTCTGCCTCCTCCTCTCCCTGTCTCTTGCACACAGCAGCCCTGGGAGGTTTTGAGCCCTCCTCCTGGGGAAACTGAGGCAGAGACAGCAAGTTCTCCAGGGCAAAGGCAGGGCTCTCGGCTCTTGCCACCCCAGCCCCAGGCAACTGAATGGAGGTGTCGCCCGAACACCTCTGAGGGGCCGAGTCCAGGCACCCTGGCGTAGCCGCCCCTCCTGCGTGGCTCTCTTGAGCTGGCCAGCGTGGGCAGGGTGGGGGGCACCTTGGAGCCACGCAGGCCACCCTGTAAGCCCAGAGACTGCGAAGTCTTCTCAAGGTCACACAGCAAGCCCAAGTTGAACCCTTCCCAAGTTGTTCTTGAGAAGCTTCAAGATATCTGCTTTGGGGAATTCCCCCCTCCAAAAGCTGCTCAGAAAGGGAAACTGAGGCCTGGAGAATGGCAGGGACTTGCCCAGGGTGACCCAGGGGGATCATAGCACAATGGGCTTGAGACCCCCTCAGCACCAGCCCCCACGGTCCCTGTGGGAAGCCAAGTCTCCCGGTGGCAGCCAGAGGGGGCCGCTGTGAATGGGGACCCCAGGATCCCGCCCGGGTGTCCCCAGGCCTCCGCATTCCCTGGGGCAAAAGCCAGGCATCCACACACTCCCCACACAGTGCTCCTTAGGAGCCCCACTCTCGCTGGAATCCTACCCCTATGTGCAGCACTCTACAGTTTGGACGCCACACTGCTCCTCTCTCCAGAACCAGCATTAGCTCCATGTCACCTCTGGGGAAACTGAGGCCAGAATCTCACTAGCCTTAAGACACACAGCAAAATGGGGGTGGGGGGCCCCAGATCTGGATAGGAGAACCTGCAGTGTTGTGGGCTGGGGAGGGAGTTGGGGGCACGAAGTCATGCCCGGGGGCGGCCTGGGGCAGGGACAGCCGCCCCTTCCCCTCACAGCCCTGCGGTGGTTGCACAAGGCTCCGCCGGGCAGGCTGGGAGCGCGGCCAGGGGCGAGAGGCTGCGGGAGGGGCAGGGGCAGGGGCAGGTGCGGGCGGCGAGGGCGTCGCAGCGCCGCAGTGCCGGGCCAGACCCCGAACCCCGGCCTCCAGCTCCTCCCGGCTGCGGCTCAAGAATCCAGGATCCACGCGGCGAAAACACCGGACCGTGCTGGGGAGGTGGCGGGGTGGGGGCGACAGGGGAGACCGAGCCGGACACGAGCACCCTTCCCCCGCTCCCGGCGCGTCCAACTTCGCGCGCCCCCTCCCCCTCCACGCACACGTGGGCCAATAACGGGGACCACCGGCGGCGGCCGAGGCCCGGCACGGCCTTGGCTGAGGGGGGACCCAGGGACACAGCAGACGCGTCCTCTTCTCAGGAGAGCTGGGGGGACCCAGGGTCCAGCCACGACGCCTGGATTCCAACCCCAGGCCGGCTGGCCGCCTCCCGCACAGCCCTTCCTCCGGCTCGCCGGGGGCGCCCCCTCCCCGACCTTCCCGAGCGAGGGGGTGGGGAGCGCGTCCGAGTGGGGGAGGGCAGGTCTGCAGACCGAGTCCCCACGTCCGGGAGGGGTGGAGGTCCCGCAGTCGAGGGGCGGGAGCGGCGAGGGTGGGGAGCACGGGGAGGGGGTCCCGAGTGGGGTGTGTATGGGGGGCGTGCGGGGTAGGGGTCCCCGGCCCGGCCCATCCCCCACCGGACCCCAGCCCTTGGCGGGGGCACCCCGGCCCAGGTGGCGGGAGGGACGCGCGCCTTTTTCGTCCCGCCTCCTCCGGCTTCAAAACTCCGGGCCGGGGATGCGGGGGGCGCGGGCCGGCGGGCGCGGGCGGGGGCGTACCTGGGTCAGGCAGAGCGGGGACGAATACATCCCGGGCGCGGCGGAGGCGCGGGCCGGCCGGAGCGGGCGCACCGAACTTACTGAGTCATTTTTCCAACCCCCCCACCCCGCGGCCACGGCCGGCGCGCTCTCCCGCCGCCTCCTCCCCCGGCCTCCCGCCCCTCCCTCCTCGCCCTCTCCTGCGCCCGCCTCTCCCTCTCCCCGCTCCGTCTCTGTCTCTGCGTCTCTGTCTCTCCCCTCCCCGACACCCTCCCTCCCCCAGCTGCTCTCCCCTCCCACCCTGAACCTCCCACTTCTCCGCATCCAACTTTCAAAGAAACGAGGGAAAAAAGGGCGCGAGCGAGGAAGGAGAGCCTCCCCCCCCAGGTCTCCCGGCCCCCACCCCGCGACCGCCAGGATTCCCAGCCGCCAGCTGCCGGCCGGGCACCAGCCGCACCGACGCGCGCCCGGCCGCTGCGGGTGCCCCGCGGGGAGGGGGCACCGGACGGTCGCTGGACGTTTAGGGGCCAGAGGTGGATTTTTGAGCGCACCCCTTCCCCCCCTCGGAGCTGGCCGGGAAGTTGGAGAAACGAGCCAAGGGGGGGAGGGAAAGAATGAAGAAGTGACGTGCGCAGAGGCCGGCGCGGGCGCGCGACTTTCCCCTTAAAGATGTACACCCCGGGTGCCTTGGGGGTGTCCCACGACACTCTCTCTCCCCTCTCCCCACAGAGCCAGACAGGGGCTGCCGTCCCCCCGTGAGAGGGGCTTGGGTCCGACGGCCCCTCCCCTGGCCAGAAGGGCCCGGGCTAACGCGGGACCCTCCAAGAATCTTCACTCTCTGCGCTTGCTGCCAAAGGGGCAGGGGCGGGTTGGCCTGGCACCCTTGCACCCTCAGTCTCCCCAGCACCCCCGGAGGATGGCGTCAGGCAGAACTGTCAGCTGGCCGGATAAACGCTTGCAACCTCTTCCCAGGTGTCAGTCATTCCTACCTGGCCCCGCCATGTACCCATTTTACAGATGCAGAAAGGGAGGTAGGGTGAGTGTGGCTTGGAGCCAGCCTCTCTGGCCGTGGAGCCTAAATTCTCAAAGCTCTGTTGTTCTCCCTCTAGAATATCAGAGTGCAGGTCTGGCCTCCCCTAAGTCTGTCCCCCGCCCCCACTGGGGGACATCGGATGATGGGGCCCCTGCCCTCCCAGGTGGTTCACTCCCTGAATGCTCCCAGCCTCGCCCAGACAGAGGCTGCCGCATCTCCTGTTCCCATCTCAGGAGTCCTCCCCTATAAAGTGGCCCAAAGGGTCCCCACCCCATGGGGTCGGTTGGCATAAGGAAAATGACCCTTAGCAGAGTGAATGTCCACTAAGACATTCTTAGAAAGCTTGGTCATTTTCAGTCATCTCCAAGAGTGTCCTGAGGCTAAGCGATACCCTCTCAACCAACCCAGGCAGCTGCCCCATGCCCAGGGGACATGCAGGATGCCTGCAGCCCCGTTGTCCCGTGTGATGGCAGAGGAAACGAAGGCCCAGAGAACAGAAACCATTGCCCAGGGCGGGACAGCTGAGCTAGAAGCAACAGGATTCCCGGAGCGCATGTTCCCTGGGCCCGAAGCTCCCTGCGACATGGGGTGACGTTATTCAAAGGGTGCTTAGCACATCGTGAGCACGCCATAAATATTTTTTTAAAACCCACCACGTAGTAGCTGTGGAGGCCATTTAAACTCCCAGGAGGGATGGGGAGGAGGGTGTCTGGGTATCTGAATGCCGACATAACATAAAGCAGTATTTTATTAAAACATGCTACAAACACGTCTAGGGCAGAATCTGAAATTCACAGACATTGAAGACATTTAAAAGTTGAACTTGACTGCAGACCCTTCTCCCAGCCTGCAGAGACCCTGCGGGTTCCATGCCCCGCCCCCACTGCCTGCAACCTTCAAGGGGCCGCTTAGCTTAGGCGCCTTTCACACCAGGGGCCCTTTTGAAGGTGAAATTTACAGAGCACAGCTTGCCCCTCTAGGAACCTCGATGTCCTCGTCCTCATCTGTAGCACCACAATGACTCCAGGACGCACCTGGGCAGGCTGGGGAGGTTGGAGTGGTTTAGACAGCGTGTGCATGTGTGCAGGGTGTGTTAATGCCACTGGCGGCAGCTGGCGGACGCTTCTACGAGTGCGTGAACAGCAGCAAATACCCCAGGCTGGCCAGGAGAGACCCTGCAGCGCGCAGGGTAGGTGCATTAAATGCAGGGCAGGCCAGCTGGGACGCAGGGTTGCTGCTTGGTCTATGTGTCCTCCGGCCAGCAGCTGAACCTCTCTGTGCCAGAAGTTCTGCCCCTCCGTGAAATGGGATGATGACAGCTGGGACCCCTCTGGGCTGTGGGTGAACCAGCAGATTACCTGAGTGACGGTCACAGCAGTGCCCCATGCATAGCAGTTTCTTTAGGAAGCAATTGGTGGATTTGGACCTGTGTGTGTGTGTGTGTGTGTGTGTGTGTAGGGCCCAGGGTGCATGATTCATCTCCTGGCACTCTGGAGTACAATCTGGCTCATTTGTTGAAAAATAAAAAAAATGTCCTCCCCCTACAATGAATTCACTCGGAGGCTTCTCTGTAACTGTCCAGGTACAGGTGCCCAAAGGGGCTGACTCCCACCGGATGACACTGATCGCCAACAATTTGGAAGCAGCCACTCTGCCCATCTGGGACAGGCCCGTTCAGTAATCCCCGGCGTGGGCACCTGGGCACTGCAGGGTGCTGAGCAGCGCCCCTGGCCCCACCCACCCCATGCTGGGAGCACACACAACCCCAGTCGTGACAACTGCAAATGTCTTTAGATATTGCCAAGTGTCCCCTGGGGACAGAAATCACTCCCGGTTGAGACCCACTGCTGCCCACTCAGCAAGGAAACTCAAGATCGCATTTAGGATTTTTAAAAGAATACCCATGCATTGATGAAAATGTGCATGTGTCCTTTATGGAAACAGGTACTGCACCCTACATGGTACGTACATCTGCCCTCTGCAAGGATGGGCATCTGTCAGTTGTGCCAATGCTCTGAGACAACTCTGGATGGTAATGACCTTGGGGTGTGCTTCCATTTGTATCTGAGATACTTTCCCGCCCTCTTCATCTGTTTAGCACAGGCTTCTGTAATTGAAAGGAAACTTACAAAAAGTGAGTGTCATTGGCACAGCCGCTCAGGCGGGGAGGAGAGGCGCCCTCCCCAGGGCGACACCACAGCTACTACACCCAGAGAAAAGTGGCACAGCCACGTGCAGGGTGCACAGGGCCAGCCTGTGTGCTAAAGTCCTACTGCGTGCACCACCGCGACAATGCCACCTCCCTGCAGCCCTTGCTAGGCGTCCTGCGTGGTTCCCAGTTTACAGATGAGAAAGTGGGTTTTGAGAAGGGGATGTTAGGGGCAAGAGAGGTAACAGAAGGCTGGGACACACAAACACACACATCACACACGTCACAGACACGCAACACACAGACTAGAGAGATTCAGACACACACATTTGGAGACACAGACACACACAGAGACTCACACACACACACCACACACACACAGACGTCCCCACACCTGGCCTCCAACGCCCGGGCTCCCCTCAGAGGGGAGTGGGCAGACTCACACACAGCCACAAACGCAACACCCTCACCACTCCCCGAAAGACACCTCTTCACGCCCACACATGGACACAACTGCCCTCACACAGGTGCACACACAACCACCAGCACGCACACGTGCCCACCATCGCACGCGCACGCCCACCAGCAGAGCCTCGCGGAGCCTGCGCAGCACACCACTCCCTGCTCCTCCCGCGGCTGCCCTACCAACTGCCCCCAGAGGCTCTGCAAGGGACACAGTGGGGACATGGAAGGGCGAGGGTGGGATGTGGTTGTCTTTTCCCCCAGAAGGGCAGGTGCATGTGTCTGTCTCTGTGCGGGTCCGTGTGTCCCTGTGTGGCCCGTGTGTGCAGAGCTGTGCAGACACATGCACCACGAGGGTGTCTCCGAGTGTGTGCTTTGAGCAGGCCACATGCATGTGTCCTGCTGTGCACAAGGCAGGGACCAGGACAGAGGGGAATGATGTGTCCTACAGGCCAGGGTGTCCAACTGCGCAGGAGTGTTGTGTGTCTGAGGCTGCGAGCGGGTGCAGGGGGTGGCCATAACCCCAGTGTGACCCTGGGTGTTGTGTGTGGGTCTGTGTGTCGTGGGACTGGTCCTTCACCCCTTCCCAAACAGCCCCACGCCATGGGATGGGGGTTTCAAGAAAAAAGCAGAGAGAGCAGCTTGGCCTCGGGGTTTTTATATTTAGAAAATTGTCTCAAATGCCCCTGGGGTGGTGGGGGTGGCGTCTGGCGGGGATTCCCCTGGAGGCGAGAAAACAAGTCCCCGTGCTCGCCCTGGCAAGAGCAGGGGGCAGGGCTGGGGGCGGGCCCGGGTGCCCGTGGGTCTCCCCAGCATAGAGGGATCTCCTTGGCCACCCCCCAGGCCCGACGCACGCTCCTGCAACCATCCGCCCCCTCGGGACTTCCACTGTGCGGATGGAGGGGAGACACCCTCGCCGCCCCGCCCCCCTGGGGCAGGCCCCGCGCAAGCGCAGCCCCTGGCGAGGACGTCGGCGCGCCAAGTGATCGCGTCCCGGCGCCACCTCGTGCCCGAATCTCAAGCCTGGACCACCTCCAGCTGTGCGGATGGGGGACCCCAAAGATAGGGGAAATGGAGGGGTCGGGGGATGAGACCAAGGGACAGCGCTTTGCGAAGGCAGAGGAAGCGCCCCCCAGCTCCAGCCAGCAGCCGGGGTTACAGGAAAAGAAGGAACTGGGGGAGGAGGCGGGGGAGGGAGGAGGGATGTAGACCCATCCCCAGGGACACAACCCTAGAGTCACACGCACACGGTGACACCCAACTGTCCCCCGAGACACGGCCACACGCCACAGTGTCCCACTCGCTGGCAACCCCCCAACAGCCACACACTCACACGGGGACGTCCCACGGTCACCCAGGGACACACGGCCCTGGGGACCCACAACACGGCCACACAGTTTCACAACACCGCCCCGCAGGGACGCACGGCACAGTCGCCCAATCACCCAGAGACACACAACACTGCCGCACGGCCACACAATGCTCTAAAGCACACACAACACAACACGCACAAGCACGTGGATGCTCAGACACACGGACACGGAAAGGAGTGGACCCAACGCGACAGGACCACGCGCAGGTACGGACCCCCGCCGCCCAGACCGCGGGCGCTCCTGCAGATTCCGGGGCTGCTGGGTTGGAGAGCACAGGGGAGGCCCCAGCGCACCCCTCGAAGTGCGGACGACACCGGAACCCCGGCCGGCAGACCGGACACCGGAACCCCAAGTGCAGCGGCTGCCGGGCCTGGGGCGCGCCCGGCCGAGACCCGGCGACCGCTCCGGGCGGGGACCCCAAGCGCGCGCGGCGGGGCTGGGGCCGGCCGGGGGCGGGGCCGGGGGCGGGGCACCTGCAAACCCAACCTCGAAAACGAGGCTCAGACAAAGCAGCGGTGGGCAGGTGAGATAACGCGGAGGTGAGTCCAGGCCAGGGGGGGACCGTGAGCCCCCAGGAGCAGCAAGTGAGGAGGACGAAGGCAGGACGGGCCCTCGACTCGCCAGGGCTCCCCTTGGCTGAGCAAAGCTCCCCAGGCGGGCAGAGCCCCCTGGAGGAAGCTCGGCACACGGGCACAGACCGGGACAGCCGGGGGTCGTGCAGGGGCGTCGTGGCGCAGCCCCAGCCTGCGCTGGGTGGGCGCTGGGAGGGCCGCTGCGTGACACGCCTGTGTTCTTGGCTGTTTGCAGAGGCTCCGCTCCCGGAGACGGAAAACCCGTACCCAGCAGAGCCGGCGCGGGCAGGGCTTCCCTCTGGGGGGCCGTTCCACGTCTGCTCGCCCCCCGTGGTCCCCACGGCAGCCCCTCTGTCACCAGCCGGCCTGGGCAAGGCCGAGCCCCTCACCATCCTGAGCCGAAACGCCACTCACCCCCTGCTGCACATCAACACGCTGTACGAGGCCCGGGAGGAGGAGGAAGGGGGTCCCCGGGTGCCCCAGGACGTGGGCGACCTCATCGCCATCCCCGCCCCTCAGCAGATCCTCATAGCCACCTTCGACGAGCCCAGAACAGTCGTGAGTACCGTGGAGTTCTGAGGGTGCCCAAGGCCCTCTGCACGAGCGTGCGGCCGGCGCCCTGCGTGGACTCGGCCTCTGCTTCGCCCGGCGCCGCCCCCAGCCCCCACCTCGGTCCGCACGTCTGGGGGCTCGAAGGGAGCCGCCCTGTGGCCGTCGTGGCAGTTGCAGCGCTGGCTGGGGCAGCTGGGGCAGGGGCAGGTGGCGGAGCCACCCTCCCTCCCCAGCACCCAGCGCTCCGCAGTGGGTCGGGGGCTGCAGAACGAAGAGTTTATTTTTTTAGTTGATTTTTGTCCGGGGCCCAGGCTGTGGCAGGATGGCCCAGCTCTCCCCGCTCGGCCACGCCAGCCGGGGTGAGCCAAGAGACAAGTGGGGCCAGCCACGCCCAGGGGCCACATGCTCAGGGGCTCACCCCTGCAGGGGGCAATGCCCTCCGTGGCCGGGGCCGCGGTCTCCCCTGGGGTCAGAGCGAGACATGCACTTTCTCCTTGTCGCCTGACATGGTTCCATTTTACTGTGATTACTGTAACTAACGACACTGATCATTAGGAGACTCCGGGATGGCCTGGTGCGTGTGCATGGTGAGCGCGCGGGTGTGTGCAGAAGGGTTCCGTGTGCGTGAGCAGCTGTGGGTGCAGGCGTGTGCATGGCACGTCCGAGCCTGTGTGTGCGTGAGTGCGAGGGCAGCCTCGCGCGCGTGCGAGAGCAGGCGTGGGCCACGTGCGAGCGCGGGAGTCCAATGCAATAACCACGTCCACCCACCTCCCGAGGGTCCCACCCATTACCTCAGCCACGGAGGCCATGTGACGCAGTTACCGAGGTAGCACTGAGCATATCAATAAATACTATTCTGATAACCGCCTGTGCTCGCCTCCTGCCCAAGCTCCAGGCCTGTCCCCTGACTCGCCGGCGTCATGGGGGTGCCAGGGAGAGGGAGGGCTGCCTACATCCAGAGTGCAAGGAGGGCCCCGGGAGGCCCCTCTGCCCCTGCAGGTCACCCTGCAGCCCGCTGCACCCACGGCAAGGTGGAGCTCACGGCTGCCCCTTGTGGAGTGGGACATGGAGGGGATTCAGGTGCTAAACCCCTGGGCTCACAGGTTCAGGGGGACAAACGCACCACCCCACACTCCGCAATAAGACATCCCACTGGTCATCCTGCCCTGAGGGCAGAGAGCTGCAGGTTGGGAAGGCTTCCCAGAGCAGGCACCTCCGTGCCCTGGGGGTGCAGGGGCCTCAACGCCAGGCCTAGAGCTTGGCGAGACAAAGCTGGTCCCTGGGTGTCCATGGAGCCATGTGCCCTGCAGGCCACAGCAGGGACCCAAGGGTCTGAACGGAGGCTGGGGGTAGTCACGGCACGAAGGGGGTGGTCAGAGCAGGCCCGCCTGTGCCCAACCTGGGCCTCCCGGACGCTCTGCGCTGGGGCAGCCTGGGGTGTGTGCAGGGCAGGGCTCCCCCAGCGTTCCCAACTCAGGGTGAAGTGACCGGCCTCCCTGCAATGTCCAGGTGCAGCCACCACAGCTGAGCCCAGGAGTGAGGCACGAGGATGCAGACTGGAGGCTGCATCCCCATTTTTAAAAGGAGACTTTATTTTCTGCTTGTTTTTTTTTTTTTTTTTTTTGAGACAGAGTTCGCCTTTGTTGTAGCTAGAGTGAGTGCGGGCGTCAGC